ATATCTAAAAGCTGTGCAGAACGTTGTGGGTATGATTTACGAGGCTGTGCTGTGTTGTTTATAATAACTTGTTTGATCCTTTTAATATTTTATTAGCACAATTGATTATTAAAGCAAGCATATAATACCTTTCAAAAAAATTATTAAATTGCAAGCATAGAAATTTATGAGTAGTTTTAGTTGGAGATATATTTTTACCATATCAAAGATGTAACGTCAGAGATATAAGAAGAGTTTCTCTCATTTTTGTTCTTTTTTATTTATGAAAATTTTCAACTAGGTATGTTGTTGAAAAATTCGTATTCTAGAAGGACAGAAGAATAACAATAGGCAAATTAAGAATTCAACTTGAACCGTAGAAGCACAAAAGAACTAGTGCAACATCTTCAACTCCTGCTGTAGTCTGTTTGACACTAAGATTGCATGCTTTTCATCGACATGCTATGGTGCCTCAAGGCTATTTCGGATTGTTTTTAGCTCTGAACCTTTGTATCTGCTCTCTCTTATAGTATGAACCACGCCTCTATTATAGGGTTACTTTTGATATCCGTTGTCTAATTTATAAGATTTCAGAACTATCTTTAAAATTTATAAATACAACCCAGGAGGCATTCATTAGCTTGATGAGGCGGATGAGTGAATAACTAATAAGTTTATAGGGTAGAAGGACAGGCCCGTTATCCACCGAGTTCCAAACCGTATGGCACTGACCCTTGGTTATTTCTCAGTTATCAAAAAGTAAAAGTTTATGGGAATATATTAGTCAGTTTGACATTCAGGGTTTTGGTTTCATTTACCGTAGAATAATGTAGTAATAAATGTAACAGGTGTTTGTTGCTGGCTTATTTTTTTTCCAGGAATAGGCTAGCACTGAAGATTTGTTAACTATCACTGCTGACCCGTTCTCTTGCAGATTGTTGAGGCTATTAGATACACGCTATAAGGGCATTGCTCATGGAGTTGGTCAATCAGAGATACTAGGTCGTATTCATGTTGCTCCAATTAAGGTTTGTTGCTTCCTTGGAGCTTATGGACTATCTTGCAATCTTGTGTCTGTACTTCAAGTGCATTGACAGTATACAATAGATGCTGCTGTTCTACTGATGAGTTCTTTCGATTCTCATGCACTGCCCGGAAAATTAAATAGAGTGATTAGATTTCTGCTGCTATCAAATGCTTTCCATATTCTGTTCTTTCAGTTTCTGTACTACTGTACTATTTCTTAGTAATATTCAATTCTATGATCTGGATTACTGATGCTAAGTATTTTGTCTATAGAGCTTAGCAGTCTAAAACTTAAATAAGCTACATGCTAGCCTTTCTGCACAACTTATAGCTATAAATATTAGTCAAATAATTACTAATAATCTGTCAGCTGTAAGTAGTTTTAGCTTATTGGCCATTTGGTTTAAATCAATCTGTCTGATCACGTGTCCCAGTAATCAGTTGGTGATAATTACTTGTTCTACCCATAATACATGAGGATTAAGTTGTGAAACCAGGCACATATGCATTAGTTTTAGTAAATGAAAAGCTGTCGAAGTAATAAAAAGCTGCATGGATATGCTTGCCTTTGGATTAATGATAAGTTCCAAGGAGATGCCCTGTTAACATGTTTCACTTCAATTTGCTAAACTCTTAACTATGGCAGATAGGGCAAATATTTTACCCTTGTTCTTTCGTGGTACTGGATTCTCCCAATATGGAATTTCTCTTT